TATAGATGGGGATCTGAACACTGCGACTCTTTCGGTTCAGGTTTAGTGGAGATCCTCGATGATCTGAGCCTCTGCGTACTTAACAGTGGCTGCTCCACTCGTAGAGTTCTTCCTGGTCAAAATAGTAGCTGTGTGGATTTGACTATTTGCTCACTCGACATCGCCGCAGCTGCTAGCTGGCAGTGCACCGATCTGTCCCATGGTAGCGATCATTATCCAATTTTAGTAACCCTCCCAACTTCAACCCACTTGGTAAAATCTCCCCCCCCCCTTTTAAAATATATCCTTTCAGAAGCTAACTGGCAAAATTTCTCCCAAACCCTCGAAAACTCTGTGAATGCTCTCCCCAGACTAGACCTTAGACCCTTAACCCAGGATGATCGTTACCTGGTGATGGACTGTTGTGACGCGTTCGTAGAGGCAATCAGATCAAGTGCAGACAGTTCCTTCAAAATTAAAAACTCGAGCAAAGGCAAAATTCCGTCACCTCCTTGGTGGGACAGTGAATGTACTAGGGCAGTCAAGTATAGGAAGGAGTCCGAAAGGAGATACAATGCCGATATGACCACCCATAATCTACTCACCTACCAAAACGTTTTCGCCTCTACCAAAAGACTCCTTCGACGCAAGAAGCGCGCCGGTTGGGTTAAATTTTGTTCCTCCTTGTCCCCATCCACCCCATCCTCAATGGTGTGGAAGAACATAAATCGGTTCCGATCTGGTTGTTCGCCCTCTGTCTCTTCCTCTATCTCCCCCAATACAGCTGAGCTTTTCCTGGACAGAATTGCCCCCCCGTATGTCCCACAACTCGATGAAGCGACCTTACCAGACTTACCGTTTCAGTCAGTGGATACCCATGACGACCCATTCTCTCTGGAAGAACTGAACATGGTCCTCAACAGTGTGCGAGACTCGGCTCCTGGCATAGACGGCATTCCATATTCTTTCATAGTTCAGGCCAAGCCTAGTACAAAAACTTATTTTTTAAACATTTTGAATTTCTGTTATTCTAACGGTTGGATCCCAGATACATGGAAAGTTCAAATTATTATCCCCATTCTAAAACCAGGAAAACATGCTGGTGATCCAAACAGCTTTAGACCAATCGCCCTCTCATCAGTCCTTATTAAATTATTAGAACATCTCATCAAAAACCGTCTCGAATGGATTGTAGAGTCAAGGAATCTACTGCCAAACTATCAGTTCGGCTTTCGCAAAGGGCTCAGTACAATGGACAGTGTTGCAGTTTTAATAACTGATATCCGTCTTTCTTTGTCACAAAATGCATCTGTTCTAACATCGTTTCTCGACATATCTGCTGCATATGACAATGTCTTAATACCCATTCTCAGGCAGAAACTGCATCAGCTGAGAATTCCGGTTAAGATGATCCACTGCATATGCGCAATGCTTGTGTCCAGAACTCTAGTCCTAAGGACCTTAGGTGAAGAGTTTGGCCAAAGAAAGACCTGGAGGGGCTTACCACAGGGCTCTGTACTGAGTCCGTTGTTGTACAATCTATACACTGCCGACATGGGTTCATGCCTAAACAATGATTGTAGCATCCTTCAATATGCCGACGATCTGGCATTATATGTTTCGAACCATTCCATCCAAGAGGCAGCCACATCACTCACTATTTCCCTTAATTCTCTGTGGCAGTGGCTATCAGATCATGGCCTTAGTCTTTCTGCTCAGAAAAGTGCGGTTGTTATTTTTACAAGAAAGAAGACTCTGCCACAGATTGATGTCCAAGTACAGCTGCAGGAAATTCCTTTATTAAACAAATTTAAGTTCCTAGGAGTATATCTTGACTCTAAATTGACTGGCGTTCACCACATGAACCATTTAACCGCAAAATGTGAACGTGTAATCCCAATTTTAAAGGCCCTAGCTGGGGTCTGGTGGGGAGCACACCCATACACCATGAAACTGGTATATAATGCCTTAGTACGCAGTATATTGGACTATGGGCTATTTTTACTGATTCCAGGCAATAAAAGCGCTTTGGCAAAGCTGGACAGAGTCCAATCTAGGTGCCTTCGCATTGTTACTGGTTGCATGAAGTCCTCCCCTATAAATGCCTTACAAGTGGAATGTTCAGATCCACCTTTATCAATAAGAAGACAATTTATCGCTTCACGTTTTATAATAATATCTGTTTGTAAATCTTCCCATCCTCTTCTTCCAAAAATCTTAGAATTAGACTCCATTTGTACTACCTCAAATTACTGGACTCATAAGGGAATTCCATTGATTCTACAATCCTTTCGCTCCTACTCTACTTTTTTTAACTCTGCTGTGTCATTTGACAAACTCCCTCTGTTTTCCTTTAATTATAGCGTCCTTTGTTTTAAGCCGAATGTTCTTCTAGATGTTGGAATCCCTAAAAAATCTGCCTCTTCTGTTTCCACCTTTAATACACACTTAGCTGAACACTGGGATGGGTTTGAGAGGTTCTTTACTGATGCATCCAAACTTAATAATGATAGCTACACTGGAGCCGCTGTGTACTTCCAAAACTCCAGAATTCTCTTACAGTATAAGTGTCCAAAAGAGGCTTCAGTTTTTACAGGCGAGTGTGTTGCTATCTTAGAGGCATGCTTGTACATTGACTCGCACAACATCCACAAGGCAGTCATATTCACTGACTCTCTAAGTTGCCTTAAAGCCCTGCTACAAAATCCCTTCCGTAGTAAACTTCACAGTCCGCTGATCCTTGAAATAAAAAAAACCCTTTTGAATTGTTCCACCAACTCAAAAATAGTTCAACTGGTATGGGTTCCCAGCCATAGTGGCATTGTGGGCAATGAGTGTGCAGACTTACTGGCCAAAAGTGCTGCTACTTCTGCAATGTCGGACCAGAAACATCTTACACACCAGCATTACGATCTCTTAAGACTGCCTCAGAGAGAATTGTTAACATCCTGGCAGGAAGAGTGGAATAATTCCTCAAAGCATAAAGGGCGTCACTACTACGCAATCCAACCAAGCATTACCTTAAAACCCTGGTTCTATAAATTTAAGAAGGTATGTAAACCTGTCATCTCCACCATATGTAGGCTCCGCATAGGTCACTGCAGCTCACCTGTGTTCCTGAACAAGATTCGGGTACGGGATTCGTCCTTATGTGAATGTGGCTTAGATGAAGGCAATCTAGATCACATATTCTTCAGTTGTCCTAAAAATATCCCATCCCTAGATCTCTATTCTCACCTTACCGAACTAAAAATCCCCATCCCTATTAACTGCTCATCTCTCCTAACATTTTCATCCCCCCGCCTTCTCCAGGTCTTGATGTTGTTCATCCGATCCAATGACATCAGACTTTGACCTTCATTTCTATGAATATTGAATTTTATTCTTTTTGTGATTGTTTGCTTATTAGTTACCTATTTATTTATTTAATACATATCTTATCTATTTGTACTTGTCTGCTTGTTTCAGTGTAAATACTAACCACAACAAAAAGCCCCACATTCAGTCTACAATTAATATCATCAATTAAATTTTTGGTGTAATAAAACCCACGTATTTCCATCGCACTTGACACTGGCAGAATTGTCGACATCGGCACAGTTTGCCATTTATGAAGAAGAAGAAGAAGATCCCTAAAACTTATAATCTGTACTAAGAAAATACTGATTATGTTATTCATGTACAATATGTATGTGTTTCGAAATACATAAGCATGTTTAATCAGCAGCTTAACTACTATTTTACACCTGATGTAGGATCAGCCAGTCATGTGGAACATATAAAAAGTTATTACGATTAGCTAATTTTTAACACCAAGTCAAAAACAATTTTATTACCCGAAAACGGTTTGTATGTTTCAACCAGTATAAAAATCGTCAAATATTAGGTATAAGAGTTGTTGTTGTGTACCTCAGTAACACACACATTGTGTGCACAGACAATACAAGATAAACAAAAAGCATACTCAATATTTTCATAGATATATACGGTTTACAAATTTCTTTGTTGGATACATAGTAATCACCATATTATATGCATATTGTTTCAATAGATTATTGTAATTTAATAAAACTAAAGGTAAATTTATAAGGATAATCAAGACTCCATACTAAATATCTATCTGTTTCAAATACAGAAAATACCATGCTAAGCTAAATCTTGTCTTTTTTTAAAATAATGTATACATACATACTAAGAATAAATACCATATATTGTTATGTAAATAATATAAAAAAGGTTTTATATAATTTTAGTACTTATGTGAAAAATTAAAAAATAAGTTATCATAGACAAGTGTTTCAGACTAACAATAATAAATAACACAATGTTTTGGCAGTGAATTAATATTACCTAGAGTTGGCAAAGGCACCAAAATGCGGTAAAAAACCTTACATAACTGATAACATAGTTTTATAATGCTTGTTTTATAGCTATTTTACTTTCCTCTATGATAAGTAACTACATGCATTGAGCAATTTTAACAACTGCACACTCCTACACATTACTAGGTACATAAATCTACATATTTCGTGGTGTTTCTTAAGTAATGCGTTAAATAACACGCTAAAGGTCATATTCATTACTTAAATTCGAAATAACATCGATCCCAAAGTAATAACTCCGCATTGTAGCAGTGTGCTAGACATAAGCACAGTGCAGTACTTCAAGACGTATTCTAACACTATACCTAGAACCTTCTAAGAAAATCAATACAGCCACACCCAGCTTGAATAATTAAGTGTCCAGGACCACAATTGAATATCTAATTTGATAATAAAACATTGAAATAAATCACACGTGAGATCAACACCACCTTCTGACAGTTTTTTTTGGTTAGAAAAATTGAAAACAAAGAAAAAAATGGAAAAAATCGTGTTTTTCACACCTTCTTTTTCAATTACAATGAAATAGGATAACTTATATCACTAATTTCATTGAATTATAAGGAATAAATAAGAAAAACACATTTTTCAACAAAGTAAAGTTTGTAAAAAAGTATCAAAACAAAAAACTATCATTACCATTTTTACAGCTGAATGGGCGATTTGAAGCACTTTAAATATTAGAATTTCAATATTCAATGATGCACAATTTAATAAATTCACTTATGTTTCACACACTTATGAAATATTAACGAGTCACTTCTTCGATAAACTCCGCGATAATAATGAGCTCAGACGTCCGCACGGCGGTCACTGCTCCGCCATATTAAAAAAGAGCAGAGAGAAAAGAACTCTACGTTTCGGATATGCACAGTAGACTGCGAGTAAAAAAATGTGTTTGACAGTTTTAAAATTATTATAAATAAGTATAGTTCAAGTTAAGTCCATAATTTATTTACGTTCTCACATATTTTATTATGATCTTCAGTCTTGTAATTTTTTGATATTGTATAATTCTGTGCAATTCCAAACAAAATTTATTTGTATATGAATGTATCCGATCGCGAACTAATTTCAGAAAAGCATCACTCAAAACTTGATACGCGTGCATTTTTTCATCACAGTGTGTGTATCACTAATTTATTACTGTCTTACTGTGATCATGACACAATACCTCAAGTAAGACAGAAATTAGTGATAAAGCAATTCAAAGAGTTAATCGTCACTATTAAATTGAGTAAAAAGTCTAGCACATCGCGTCTGATTATGGCAATACTAAAAAATAAAAAAGTCCCTTCACATCAAGCGTTCACAAGAATATTTGTTTAACTGTATTTTTTTTAGGCAATATGTCAATATGTCCACGTCTGATCATAATGAGCCAACTTGAACTGAAAATGAATTTATTTAAGTCATATAATTTTAACATTCGAGTTGTTGTCGCATTTGTTCGCTGGATCAACATACTTAGCTTCTGTTTCGTATTAACACTTGTTATTTCTATTTCTTGTATGACCATGAACATTAAAAAGGATGTCTTAAGCGAAAATCATACATTATTAAACGAAGTAAAGTACTTAAAGTACAATAACAGGAAACAGAGAAATTTTAAAAAATCGTGTAAATTTGGAAATATAGAACCGCAGAACCTGGTAATAGTAATAAATAGTTTTTATGAACTCATGATTAGTATATAGGCCAAATCTAAGGCGAAACCTTTAGCTCACCGGTAAGTATATATAAGGGACATATGTATACTTACCGGTGAGCTAAAGGTTTTATTTATTACTATTACCAGGTTCTGCGATTTATAGACAGAGTAGAGGAACGAGCGTTATGTTCCTCTAACACTAGGGTAGATCCTTCGATCAGGCGAGATGATCGTGCCTAACAGACCAGGGCCCCACTGTTAATGTAGGGAAGTTATTTGTATAAATTTTAATCGGAGATCGAGAATGTTCAAATGGCAATGTAAGGATTGTTTTCATCAGATGGTATTAAAGTATGTTTTTAGTTTTGTGTTGAAGTCATCACACAATTGTAATAAGTGAGAAGAGTATAAGACAGGTTGTTTTATTAAATAATTATCTATATAGTGCTGATTACGTTTTCTTTACCTTTAGATGAAGTCCTCACACGGTTCATAGAGTATATTATTATTATTAAAGTCGCATAATGTCAAAGTCCAATATTCATCCAGCAACTATCAAAGCCGAACGGATTGCGCTGTAATAGTCGAACCTATAACACTAGCTTTTTGAAAACGACCAACTACCAGCCAGAACCGAACTGCCAAAATTGAACATGAAAAAGTAAAAATCAATAGCAGAGCAGTTATCCGTTTAAGTAAAATTTTCGCTGTTTTGCGCTTGTGACATTCTGTTCCTAAACAAGAGTGGCGGTAGCATGAAATCTGGTCATTTTTATTTCTTAAAAAGACAACGCCCGCATTGGGAATATATCCTGTCGCGTGGGACTTTTACAAACACATATAAAACGGTCACAAAGAACACCAAGACTCAGAACAAGAATTTGTGAATCACACACAGTGTCTTTCCATGTGGGGATCGTATCCACAACAATCAGCGTAGTAGTAAGCGACGTGGCGACCGCTTAAACCGCCATCCGTGCAGTCCTCCCCATTCTTAATTTAGTTTGTCCTTTACTGCAGCAAAAAAAAACAAACAACAGAACGGAGCGTTTCGGAGGCAAGGGTTCGTAAATAAAAACAATAAATACATGATATAACTTTATAATTATATTCTATAACATCGCATATTTTAAAACACTTTCTTTGTAAACTAAGTCTTGAGAATAGTAATCACATTTAAAAGTATACCTATAAAAGGATGATAATCTCATGCATTGTGTAAACTACAAGTTAATGTGGTATAGAGAAGCGAACCCCTACACATTTAAATTACATACTTCTAATAAGTATATACGTGACATCAATGATACTACAACACAGAATTCAGATCATGAACAGAAAGCGAAAATTTTCTTGAAATTATGGCACTATTTAAATCTTGTTTATTAAAATTTAGTGCTCAGAAAAATAAGTATTATACAAGATCTTTAAGAAAAAAACGGTTGTGCTTTAGAGCACACGACTGATGTAAAACTTCTTGGTTATGAGGGACAGAGAGAAAGAAAATGTGTGCTCGCACCTCTCTGCTGCCCCTACAGATATAAGAAACGTAACTCTCTCTCTTTCTATCTTCACTAAATTATATCTCCCTCTCAACTTCTGTTCGCCTCGCCCGATCACACTTTTCGTAACGCTCCCCAAGTCAAGCGTGTTTCACTTAAAAAAAAGTTTCAAAGAAGTTTCACTTAAAAAAAATATTTTTAGTATTTTCTGTGTTACAGTCAAATTAAAGTAAGTGTACGTTTGTTTGGAAAGTATCAGTGTTGCCTACTACAAAAATATTATACATTAAAAATAAACATTAAATACGTAAGTAATACATAATTACTTTTGTAGTTAATGTATTCCTATACCAAGATCTGTAGCAATAAAACGCGTTTCCAATATTTTATATTTATCATTATTTATATCATTTACATCACATTCCATCTAACAAGCACCAACGTCAATCAAGTTTTTTTTTTATACACAATCCAAATTTCTTTTTTTTCAAAAATTGACTCAAATAGATCTGAATATAATATAATAATCTTCGTTTTAAAAAGACTTAATATACGTGCCCTAAACATCTACACTCATTAATATATATTATGGTTTTATGTTCTGTGTGCACATACTTAAGCATTTTAACAATAGAAGAACTTTTAAAAAAGTATCACCAACTATTGTTTTTTTTTTGTCATTTTTTTGTTTTGGGACTAGTCTTGCTTTTAACCAATTTAATTAATAAATGAATAATTAAAATCGGTTTACAAATAGCAGACATTGCGCAACATACACACAACAATATTTGGTGAAATTGAGAACAAATCATTCTGAAGTCAATAAAAAATTAGAACCACAATACTTTTTTTTTAACTCAATAAGTCTGTTTTTTAGTTTAAAAAAAAAACAAAAATTATTTAAGAATCCTATGTTTTTTGCGTTATTGAGATTATATTATTGAATTCGGACACATATATTTTTTAATTTAAATATTATGGGCCCCAAAAGCCTATTTTTTTTGCTGTTGAATATTTCTATTAGTTGTGTTTGACTTTATATTAAAACTACGAGCAAGTGTTACGATATGATTACATATCAAAAATATCTGTGTTTATTTAGCGGGAGATCTTTCAAAGTAGGTCATAATTCGTCCTATTGTTCGTTACCGAACATTTTAAATCTTTCTAAATCTACATAGGCTTCCATCTAAAACATTGATTAACAGTCTAAAATATTATATTACCATAATATTGAAACTAGAATATAAACTTACATAAGTATTGGTGTTTTTCATGTTGGACCTTTATATACGATTGACCGACTGACTGACTGTTGTAATCCTTGTAAAAAATGCACTCGTTCTGCTAGTACACGAATGTGACTATTTGATTAAATTTTAAAACATGATAGAGATTTTTCAATTATAATGTCATTACTTTAAAGCAAATTATTTCTCTTAAGTGATATTTAATGGTCTCATTAACTGTTAAAAACATACATAAATATAATATTTACGCGGAAATAAATTAACCGTTGTTGAACAAGGATTTAACTTTTTTTGAACCTCTTTATAATACTTCAAGAAATAATCTGATGTTAAAACTTTCAAAGTATAAAATTACCATATTTATGTAGACATTTAAAGAGTAGCCCGATTGGTGCAAGCTTGTGTAACAATTTGATCGTCAATAAAAATATATTTTTCTATGACAATTCAAATTAATTTAAAAGTGGTTGCCATACATTCCAGGCATAGGCATATTCAATGGACCTATAGGGTATGGCACGTTAGGAGGCCCTTGTGGCTGGCCAAAACTCGGGTACGGAAGGTACGGCCTAGCGATTCCATTACCGAAAGATGAATGAGCGCCAGTTCGAATTAAATCAGCCATTTTGTCTGCCTTAAATTTTCTTAAATGCATGTTTTTACGAGCTGGTTCGAAGTCTTCGAGGAATTTCTCTACTGGTATCTTCCCAGAGAGGAAGTCTTGAGCTAGATTCTCTGTTTGTTCTTCAGATTCTGCTGCTGCTGTCTGGAGTAACGCTTGGGTCGTGTCTACTGAAATGCCCGCTGATTTTGTTTCTGTAAAAAGCAAATATGTATAAAAGTCATTAAATGTGTGTTTACTAGTTTCTTTTGAGGTCAGTCTCCCACCTGACGTTAATCTCTGGGCATGTAATCCTTTTTTTTCGACAATGCAAAGGAAAGTGTGTAAGGGCGTTGGACTGGAGATATCGTAGATTTCATAGGAATATCGCAAGTATTAGATGAGAAACGAAACTGATACTGCAGGAACTAGTAAGGGTGTAAGTAAAAGCATGAACAGGTCCAAATTATCTATTGCCGAAAATCGGAGAAATCTAACCTTAAAAAGGTACAGTCCGATGCAAACTTAATGGCGGCTCGGAACATCGTGCGTTTCGATGCGCAGAACACAATAATGGACAGCAGCGCGCACACGACTTTAGTGTGTGAGTTACATCCGTACACTGCGCATGCGCGCATACCGAGTCGACTTGACTGTAGATACCTGCGCACACCTGTGTGCGCAGCTAACTTCAGAGCCGCCATTAAGTTTGCATTGGACTATAGTAAAGTATACCTCATTAATAATAATAATAAATTTACACATTTCACACAAGGCAGTCTGATAATAAACTTGAGAAACATACTTAAATATTTACTGCCTCGGTGCTGCAGTGGTCCTCCTTAGCAGTGAGGGTTACTTAATACTAAACAGACAGGCAATTCTAGATATGAAACGTAGTACTTTTATTTCATAATAATACTCACTGTAGTCTTCAAGAAGCTCCTGTATACGTGAGCACAACTGTTCACCAGTCTCTGACTTTTGCTGCACCTGGGCTTTCAAGTCCTCGAGGTCTGGCTCCTTGCTCAGGTTGAATTCTGCTAAAGACCTGTTGCTTGCTATTGTCATCTCCCGCTCTGTTTCCCAGTCTTTTACCTAATCAAACCAGTTATTACATTTTAAATACAAACCATGTTTAGAAATTAGACGACCGGATGGCGTAGTGGTTTGTTTAACGGACTGCTATTCCAAAGGTCGCGGGTTCGATTCCCGCTCAAGTCAAACATTTGTGTGCATGAACATTTGATGTTTGATTTGGTCTGGGTGTTTCGTATTTACAAAAAAAAAAAAGTATATATGTATTTATATCAGTTGTCTAGTACCCATAGTAGAAGCTCTGCTTAGTTTGGGACTAGATGGCGTTGAGTGTATATGGTAGAATATTATATTATTATTATTAAATTAGAAACATCATCGTGACTTACATTTACATGTAATGCGTTTACAGTTTACGAATTTTTAAATGATAAATACTGTACACAATATATTTTATCTGTGTCTATTTGTTTGTTTTTAATCTTAAATTATTGTTACATTCTATTGTAATTTATTTTGAACTGACATAAAATGCACCTTTTTAATTTAATTTATAGTTATAAATATTTGATCTGACATTCATAAATCTCTAAATGTGGACAATGTTATATTTAGTTAGAGGTCGTAGGTTTGATTCCTACCCAGGACAAATAATTTGGTAATAAGCACGATCATTTGTTCTGTGTCTGGGTGTACTTTATATATTATATGTATGTATTTAGAAATTTAATCGTATCGTATATAATCATCGTATGTTTATCAGCAGTCTGATTTGGCTAGATCTGCTCGGGCTCTGCCTAGTTTGGGATCAGGCGGCCATATGTGAGTGAGATGTGTGATGCCTGAGATTGTCTGAAAGCCTGAGATTAGAAATACCAATGCATTCTACCAATTTCTACACAAAATCATTTTCTGTAGAAGCTGTACATTTATGGAATGCATTGCCGGTTTCTATCAGACGTGCGCTTACATTATCTGTCATCATTACCTGCATTATCTGTCGCTCATAGTTGAAAAATGGTGTATGTATATATTTACGTATGCATGTATAGTATTAATGTATAAATATAGATTAGTAGAATTTATGTATGATAAACATTCTCTAAATGATAAACATTAAATTTCTCTAATTTCTGTAAACCCATCACCACTTCAACATGAATCCAGTCCCTCCAAAGGTTGCCTCGAAGAAATTGCACTAAGCGATAAAACGTGTAGTGTACTTTGTACAATACTCTGTTGTTAATTACTTTATAATATCTGTAAAACCCTGTACAAATAAAATATTTATCTATCTATCTAAATCCATATATTTTTTTGCTATTTCTTTTTCAACTTTCACGAGAATCTCGTCATGAGGAACGGGGATATCAACAATCATAGCGCGGCGCTCTAATCGATCTATCACTACAATATCAGGCTACAACAACAATAGTCCTATCTGTGATAATAGATCGATCCCAATACAACGTGGCCCAACCGTTATCGAGAATTGGGTCGGGCACATACCTGTAGTATGGCACCTCTGGATTCACAAGTTAGTATTTAAAGGCAAGCTGTTGGTGTATGATCCTGGCTACTTGGTTGTGCCTGTGTTCACCGTTATCAAGACGAGAACAACCAGAAATAATATGCCTGATTGATTCCCCAGGATGGTGGCATGCCCGACAGATGTACCATCTTTCAGGATGACAATTAATGATAGTTCACCCATAATCGCACAAACAAAACCTTCAAACCTTACCGTAGCCAATTCGTAGATACTTTTAAGTCTATATCGGACGCATTTAGGGCCCGATAAAGTCGACTATGGAGCTCTTTGCCCTTCCACATTGCCCTGCGATCATTAGTACTAAGTAACTACGGGTTTAAGATAATTCTCAATTATTATTAGATTTTAAAAATATGTATGTAATTTATAAATATTAAGTATTGCATGTCCATGTAGTGATGGATTAAGAATACAGTGTCAGCATCCCTATTCATCCTGTGGGTGTCGTAAGAGGCGACTAAGGAAGCAAACTACGCAGGACAACAGCACTGTAGAGAGAAGGAAAACTTGAAACAAACCCTATACTAATCTGTCTGGCCAGCGTGGTATAGTAAGTCAAAACCTCTTTTCTAACGAGAGGCCTATGTCCAGCAGTGGACTAGTAAAGGCTGTTGATGTAATGTATGTAACAGAGAAGCTATGCCATAATATGATATCACAATAGTCATTGTACCTGCCCATTTTTGCAATAAAGTAATTTGAATTTGATTTTCTTCAAAGCTCATCACTTATGTAATGACACTTGAGTCGTATGAGCTCCATGAGCAGCGGTAGATAAGTCCTGCACTAGGAAACTATCCTGTATCGCAGGAGACTTTATAAACATTTATAAACGGACACAAAGAACACCCAGACTCAGAACAAGAATTTGGAATCACACAAAGTTGTCCCATGTTCAGATAGAACACTGAGCATAGTAGAAGCGAGGTGGTGTAGTGGTTTTAGGTGACCGCTTAAACCACTATACCATCCATGCACTTAATTGTATCCCTTGATATGATAAAAGGTCCAATATCAAAGATATAAGTTGTGTCAAAACTAACATGGAAAAAACACCTAACAGAGTAATCCTAGCCACTTGCAATGCAATGTATGGATCCCTCCATACATACATATTACATTGCAACTCTCTCCCAACGCAACGCCTTTCTCTTACAGAAGCTCTATAATAATAATATAATATTCTATACTATCACACAACGCCATCTAGTCCCAAACTAAGCACAGATTGTACTATGGGTACTAGACATATTATAAACTTTTTGTAAACACCCAGACCAAGTCAAACATGAAATGTACACCCACACAAATGTTAGACTTGCAATTTTAATTAACATTGTTGTAAAATTTTGATCACAAAATTTAATTTTAACATTAATTTACTTTGTGCTCAAAAATTATATAAAAAAATACTATTATCTATATATATCTTGTTAGAAAAAAAGGTTACTGTAATCAATAATAGGATCATAATAATGTAGACAATAAGGCATTTTATTATTAACAAAAAACGCAACACTAACACTGAATGAATAACTCTTTCAATTAAAAATTTAAAACAATGACTCATTGTATTTGACATACAAATTCGTGAAGGATCCCTTTATCTTAATATTCACAAATATAATATGTTGCAGTATTATTTGAGACTTTCGAAGAATAACAAAGTAAAACACAAAGTAAATGTCAAAAGAAAATCTGTGTTTTTTTACCTGTTTCACATCTTTTAGGACAGAATCGAATTTAGTGTCGTCATTAAGCATTTCTTTTAGCTCATCAGAATTCAAATGAGCTAATAGCCCCATGGCAGATGGGTAATCCGGTTGTATCATCTTTTTTGCACTGAGTACCACTGAGACACAATAAAATGTTAAATACAAGAAGAAATCCGTCGAGAGAACGAACGAATTATAGTTTGACAAAGACTGACAAAAATAACTAAGACAGCTTGACGTTAACGGTAACGTTTATCACTATCGTTTTAGAAAATATTTCATTTTTGAAAAAATAATAAACAGAAAAGGTAATTGTATATTAATGTTCTTGTGAATTTTCAACTATGTATGTTTTAGTGTTCAACTTCCATTTCAAAATTAAGTATAGAGAGTGAGGTACAAACAGGGAACTCAATTCTTAATAGAACTTTCATGAAATTACTGGACGAAACTTACGTACATTTGAAAACACCTTAATTTTTAATCAGGTTTTCTGAACTAAAGTGCAAATGTCAAAATGACGGTACCCTTAAGTACAACTTAGATTTTTCAAATTTCTTTTAAAATAAGATTTTATTTGTTAGAATCATTGAAATTAGATGATACTACTTATTATTTAAATTTAAGACCAAAAGTTTCGTTAGTTCTAGTCAAAAATGTTACTTATTAACGGGCCATATGACATAGAATATTTCTACAATTTTTACGTAAAGGTTGTTGCAGAGACGTTTCTATATTTAAGAAACTTTGCATTATATATAGGCTTATGGTTGTTAGGGTACTTATTGGTGTGTTGTGTAGTGTATCGACGCTATGCTCGTCGATTGCCAACAAGAAGACGGGGTGCGCTCGGCGCAAAGAGAGTCTTGGTGGTCGTGGCCCACCCAGATGATGAGTGCATGTTCTTTGGGCCCACGATATTCAGGTTGTGTGAGCAGGGAGTTGATGTACACATATTATGCTTATCTAACGGTATGTACATTTAGCAATATGTTACATATTATTTTTAATTGATGAAAGTACTTAATATTTGTCTGAAATGTCATGTTGTAATTTAAAGGTCAAGATTGTGCCTTTCATAAACCTGCTTTTTAAATCCGAAAGTACTCAAAAATATTTCAAATAAATATTATTATGTAGATAGTGTTCTAATCTGTATTCTAAAGAAAAGTTGCAGGCAGGTTTTTATCTTACATATATTCAACTAAATAATTTATTCTTAAATGTCAAATAGGTATATTTAAAGAGCAAGATATTCGTAATTTTGGTCATACAATGCTTCTTATAACTCACACTCTCAAAAAAAAAAAAAAATCATGTAATTACAAGCTGAATTAAAAAAAATATTAAATTTATTGTACATTGACAGCAACACAATATATATTTTACTTGGCAAAAGATATAACATACTTTAAATTAGCTCTTGCATTAATTATACTTATAGAAACTGGTATTATTATTATAATGGTGTTCACTTGAAATCTAAGTCAATATAATGAAAGAAAATAAAAGGACATGAGTTTATTGATGTCATGATATTTTATGGAATATATATTATATTCATGCTGCAAGCACAAAATATTTGTTCCGTAACCATACATACATCTATTAATGCAGTTTAGAACAACATACACATACCTGTGGTATGAGATTCCTTTATCTTTATTTACCTTTTTATCGTAATTTGTGCACTTTTGGAGTAAACAGGAAGGCATTTTATGAAATTCATTGAATTAATTAGTATGTGTGGTCGCTCACAGTGGTCCTAATTTAGACCAGTTTTATGAAATGGTATCTATTCAAACATTCGCATTTTTATTAAATAGTATAGGTAGCAGAGTCAAAATATAGGTTTACTAGTTTTATGTTAGCTTTAGTAATAGGCTTTATATAAGACTCTAGCGAAAATAAGATGTAAATCATATACATTATGTAACCAAGACCTAATTCTTATTCTGTAAATAAATTTTATTATTATTATTTATTATTCATAAACTCTAAATAAACAATTTATTATTTTCAGGTAACTATGAAGGGAAAGGTAAAATAAGACGTACAGAATTATGGGCAGCTTGTCACGAACTTGGAGTACCTGATGAAAATATATGTGTAATAATGGACTCAAGACTGCAGGATGATCCTAAGGTCCAGTGGCCGGTGCCTGTTATAGCTAAACTAATACACCATCACTTAGAAGCACTAGACATAGATACGTTAGTTACGTTTGACAGAGGAGGAGTATCTTCACATGCGAATCACTCTGCTGTTTTTTATGCTGTTGCATTTATGTTTGTTGAGAAGTTAATAACGAAAAGTAAGTGTGTAATAAATTATTTTTATTTTATCTATATAATATGTAGCTTAGGATATATTTTTTAATGTTGCTGGTATATCTTTTAAATTTAATTTGTTTGATGTGAAACGCCTAATGCAGACCGGTTGGTAGCGTGGCATGAGTCGCCAATGGAGACCTGCAACTCAAGAGAAACAATGCTTTACCGCCCCAGAATAAAAAGAAAGTGTCCGGTAATAGAGACACCAACCTCCAATTATATGCATAGTAAAATTAATGTTTTATGAAATTGTATTTTCAAAACAAGCATTACAACAGTTACTTATGAGTAATAAGAAAAAGCGGCATTAAAAAAATTGACTATACAGGCATAACTTTTAATAGTGAGTCTTAACTTTTAATAGAGAGTCATAACTTTTAATAGTGAGTCATAACTTTTAATAGTGAGTCATAACTTTCAATAGTGGATCATAACTTTTAATAGTGAGTCATAACTTTTATTAGCGAGTCAAAACTTTTAATAGTGTACTTGTATATACTGTCATAATATGTTGTACTATTTAGGACTCTTCTGTTTTAGAATGTACGGTGTACACACTAGATTCAGTCAACATATTGAGGAAGTACATAGGCTTTCTAGACCTGCCACTTAGCTTTGTACTGTCTTCTAAAAGGTGAGTCTGAGCCACAGCTTGTTTAGTTCAAGTATTGTCTCGTATTGTGATATATTTTTTCTTTCTATTATTTTCTACACAACACACTACAACTTATCTTGTTAAGAAACTAGCTGGTACCCGCAACTTCGCTTGCGTGGAATTTGTGGGTTCGATTCAAGAACCGGGCAAAATTTCATAGGGTTTCTCTGAGAGGAGTTACTCCTTATATAGACAGCTACCTGGTAGTAAAATATTATCAAAAGCGGTTCAGCCGCTTAAAAGATTACACGGAACAGACAGACAGACAAAAAAACTGGTTTTTAGGCATAGGTATCGTACAAATAACCGTGTGAGCATGAAAAAAACCTATTATTTTGACATTACAAACAGACGCTTCAATTTTGATTATTTTTATAGATTACACTTGTTCCAGTTTTGTGATCGAACTATGCTTCTATCTATAGTAATATGATAAGGCTGAAGAGTTCGTTTCTTTGGTTGAACTCGCTAATCTCAAAAACTGCTGTTTGTAATCGAAAAATTCTTTATTGTTTATTAACTAATTGGTAAATAGTGTAGGATAGCCCATTTATCGAGGAAGGCTATAGAGTACTGACACACGCAAACGAGGTCGCGCAGGTTATCTAGTACTGTATCAAAATTATAAAACAAAAAAAGACGTGTGGCACTCGTGGACTGCCGCGGTAAAGCTATTGCATAGCATTTTGTATCAACTTATGAAAATATAATTATTTTATTTATGCAGTATTTCTTTTTCTTTGATATTAATTCAAGTTACACTTTTTGAGCGTGGTGACCGATAAGAAAACAATTTTTTTTCTTTTATTAAATAAATAAAAAGAAACGACGTTAGACAATGCACGGCCTTCAAGCCACACCTCCGTGCCCGTCGGAGTGGGGAGCGTGAGGTTTTTTTCGTTACGGAATTTCTGGATTCGGTCCCCGCGCTCAAGGCCCTCGATAGAAGACCCTTCATTGTCTTTTGATAGTCTGGAGCTTGTATATCCATCGCATACTTCTTGACTACGACCACAATTAGACATGGGATATTATACATTGCAGGTATTTCCTCCGATGGACGGAGAGTCGACGTATAGTCCGCGCAATGAAACGCCACCGATCACAGATGGTGTGGTTCCGTTACCTCTACGTAGCTTTCTCTAGATACATGGTCATCAATACCTTAAGGAGGATCAGTCTGGCAGACATCGAATTGGAGTTAGAAGTTGACGACTGAATCGGCAAGCTTTCTTAGCTTTTTAAATTAAGAATACAAGGTATTAATTTTATAAAGAAGTAAAAAGATACTCTATGGCGATTAGAAGACAGTAAAAAGAGGCTATTTGTAAAATATTTGTGTGTTTTGAAGAAAAATAGTTATGATTTGAATGAAGATAAGTGAATCTGTGTTCTAATGAACTACTCCTATTTAGTAAATAGCTCTCTATTTTTTTTTTTCCATCATTATTTAGTCTATTCGAGACATCCAATTTCGAACACAGGCCTTTGTTAAACATTTCTGCAAAAAGTGGCTTTGCTAATATGATTCAGGCTGAATTACAACTTATTCTACTACTAAATCGTAAATAGATTTTACATCATTCGCTTCCTTCTCAATCCTACTACATGAGACTGGTTTTACTCACTCACTCACTCACTCACACTTTATGACGTCAAGTCTGATAGACGGGCCTGTTGGTCTAATTTTTAGTGACCCTGACTGCTAAGCCGGAGGTCGGTTTGGTCTACCCAGGACCAAATAATTGCGTGGTGAACACGATAATTTGTTCTGTGTCTGGGTGTAATTTATCTAGAATACTTATGTATTTAGAAATGTATAAGTATGTTCATCAGCAGTGTGGTTACCATAGCTTTGCCTAGTTTGGAATCAGACGGCCGTGTGTGAGATGTGTGCTGTTATTAAGTACCTACGTCTTGATAAAGGTCTCCCTGTTAGGTTTGTAGCCTAATCAGCATCCCAGAAATATACGTGACAAAACCGTGTATCCTCTTTAAATATAATTACCAATCACAAATGTTTTTATTCCTATTTAGTTTGAATTTGGATAGCACTGCACGGATGGCGTAGTTGTTTAAGCGGTCACCTCGCCTTAGCTTACATTACATTGTCCTCCTCATAGTCAAATTATAGTGTAAGGTCGTCCTCCTTTTCCTCAGTCGATGACGTCCACTGCTGGACATAGGCCTCTCCCAAGGTTCGCCACAATGGCTTCCCACGACCTTAACCAGGTCGTCGGACCACCTTGTGAGTTTTTCAGTACACGATCGGCACTCGAGAATTCTTTCGCCCCATCGGCTATTATTTCTCTATACCTCTCTCGTGCACAGCTTGACTGCACGGATGGCGTAGTGGTTTGTGTAACGGACTGCTATTAAAAGGTCGCGGGTTCGATTCCTGCTCAATCTAAACACAATGATCCACAAATTGTCGTTCTGAGTCTGGGTGTTCTTTGTGGCCGTTTCATGTATGTTTGTAAAATCCCCGCGACACAGGATATATTCCTAATGCGGGAGTTGTCTTTTTTTTTTAAAAAAAAGCTAATAGACATGACTCGGGAGAGAGATGGGTCTATAACATGATACTTCAACAGGGTGTTATCGCCCTTTTTGAAGAAGAGCACCACCACATCTGAACCGGCGGCTTACCGTCGAATATGACGTAATTGAATATCTTTTGAAAGAGTCAAGACCGGCTTTCCACCTACCTTCAGGAGCTTCGCCGTAATTCTGTCTTCATCCTGCGCATGGTTGTTCTTGAGCTGTTTAAGAGCCATACTAATCTCGTACAGGCTGATGTCTGGTATATCTTCGGTATACCTCGGGTTGACTTACAATATTACATAATATTATATATTAAAAAGTAAAATACCAACAGAGCATATTAATGCATACTATTAACTGTCTTGATAGAAAGTATAGTAGCCATAGTACAAGCTCTGCTTAGTTTGGGACTAGATGGCGTTGTGTAAATATGGTAGAATATTATATTATTATATGACAGAAAATCCACTTGGAAACTTCTAGAAATATATTTAAATTAAAATGAACTTTTTTAAAATTAAGGTTGACTGGTGTAATCATTACCTACCTCCAATTGACAATGAAATTATCATTAATCACGAGCTGCCATGTATTACTATTTATTATTACTCTGTTATATAATTTGATAAAGGCTTTTTAATAATAATAATTATCGTTTATTAATTTTACAAGAATTATTTTCGTGAAAGTTTATCGTGACTTTTACTGACAGTGTCTTTGGGAAAGTTTAAGATCAAACAATCATTTATCCGTGCAGTAATTTTTACCCACTGGTGTATATTGTTTAAGGATGAATTTTATTAATTTGCAATTAATTCGCGTAATTAAATTTTGACATCGCAAGTAATTATCTCCTCTCTTTTCTCTGTTCTCAGTTGACTGAGAACGGAGGAAAGTAAAGGAAAGTAAACTTAAATTCGTACTTCCTTATTATAATAGTTATATGTATTTAAAATGCAAAAGAGTGTCAAAGCAGTAATTTTGTGAGGAGTACTTTTCTGTACTCTTGACAAAATGGCTAAACAGACTTTATAACAAAAACAAATACATAATATATTGTTTTTTGAATATATCGTCTGAATTAAATAAACTAAATCGGTACCAAATAACTTATCGGTTTTAAATTAAACTAAATTATAAAACCTATACAACTTAAATCTTAAATATAAAAATAAATAATAAATATACATAATAAAGTATTTTGCAGAAATTGGAATTGTTTGTAACATTTAAAAATGATACTTCAAGAAATAGATTGGCTAGCATAACTTAAACTTAGTGAATTCGTTCAGTTTTGTGTAGCGTTTTTTTTTACATAATTTTTTACTTCATATCACATATTAGTTAAAAATGTAAGTTTTCTGTACTTCTGCATGTATATAAATATTAAGTATTCGAAATAAGATATATCCGTGTGGTGACGGACTAAGAATACGGAATGTCACCACACCTATTCATCCCGTGGGTGTCTTAAGAGCCGACTAAGTGAGCAAACTACGCAGGACAACACTGCAAAAAGAAGAAAAACTTGACACAATTCCTGTACCTATCCATCTGGCTATATACCAATAGTAGACCAAAACCTTTCTAAGAAGAGGCCTATGTCCAGCAGTGACAAGACATTCTTCCGGCGCGCCATATTTGTATAATAAGGGGTACGAAGTTTTTTTTAACGTACTAAGATATAGATGAGCATGTAAGAATACCTAGGTTTTATGTTTGCTCACTCGTCCGCCTACAAGACAGCACTGTAGATAAATCATATAAGTTTTATTATTGTCAAAATGTTTTTTAAAAGTATTGTCTATTCTGTGATAATCTGGTTTTGAAGCTAAAAGGCGCAATGACAGACATATGACTATTTATTTGTTTATTCATTTTAAAAATGGAACGTGTTGTATTTTTATTTCATTTTAAATAGACGATCAAAGTGATCATTATTGTATTGCCTTTTATTGAACCCTACCTCTCTTATTTACTATTGGGATATTATAGACAATATTACTGCTAACAAACGCCATCCACGGCAGCATTACGAGAATACACATATCGAGTATATTAACTAGCAGAAGGTAAATTCTCGTTATGCAAATTCGTTCAAAATACAGTTCCTATCTGCTCTCGAACACTAAATTTTGATCGATTTTTTATGAGAATTGACCTTCAATTGCTGTTGGTATAGTTTTAGGGGTTCACTAGGAGAAATTAGTCCTGCGTCCTTATCGGCCCGATACAACACTTACGCGTCCCACGTCTTATGTGATATCACCTAACGTCACCTGCAACTTTGGGGCGCAGAACATGTTAAGAATCGGATCCACCTAGCTCTGAAGCGACAACTATTAATGCGACGGACATTCCTTTTTGCAGAGGATGCCTGAAAGCAGAAGAAACGGTCGCCCACGTAATCCTGGAATGCGAGGAAGTGGCCTCACAACGGGCAAGTACCATACCTGGTACAAAATTGCTCCTAGAAGCCTGTGAACGCCCCAGGAGGCTTCTGCGCTTCTGGAAGGAGCTTGGTTGGCTCACCTAGCCAACCTCTTCTAGACGCATAAAGAATCACTCTCGAGTCCAAATGCGGAAATCGGAGAACACAATCAATACTACTTTTACCAAAAATGAACCTACTTATACCAAAAATGTTAAAAATCGATCCTCTGCTAGTGTTTTCACGGGGGCGACTCGTAACATCCTTCAACAAAAGGGTTATTGGGTGTGTGTATTTTGCATTGCGGACAGATACTCCTTGGGGGATTTTATCATGACAAATAGTGTGGATAAGACAAAAATATAAGTCGAGCGGTAATGTCCCATGAAGTCGCTCATACAACGTATATATCTGAATGTGAAAACGGAATAATAAGAACCAAACTTTATTAAAAAAAAACATGTTTTACTCATGTATCTAGCTCTGCTTAATTTGAAACTAGATTTCATTGTGGGTTAGATGACTTAAAATATTTTGTAAATGTATATGTAAATGTGTATATAATAAATTATAAAATGTAAAAACGGGGAACGCAGACTAAATTTCGCGGGTCAGATAGAGGTATTTTCACGTCAGCTTTGTTGACTGACATGAGCTGACTGACATGACGTGATGGTTTATACAGGTGCGTATTAACACATCACCAGAACGAAGAAATCACCACCTAGATCCACCAGGTTGATTACACGACTCAAAATCAGATCGGTTGCGGTTGGTAAAGATTTCAGTGGCTGCCAATCGCAGCGCAGAACTTGGTCACCGTGACGATCGAGTATATCTATACTAATATTATAAAGCTGAAGAGTTTGTTTGTTTGTTTGTTTGAACGCGCTAATCTCAGGAACTACTCGTCCGATTTGAAAAATTCTTTCAGTGTTAGATAGCCCATTTATCGAGGAAGGCTATATATCATCACGCTAAGGTCAATAGGAGCGGAGCACCAATGAAGAATGTTTCAAAAACGGAGAAAATTTATTACTATTGAGAGACGCAGACGAAGTTGCGCGGGTCAGCTAGTGTGAAATAAACTCGCACTTGGGCCTCTGATAACTTGAGCAATGTTTTCACGACAAGTCTCTTAATGAATACATTAGACTTGACAGAAGAGTCTACCCCCTCCTATCGGCATTCAAACAGGTGTAACTTACCATCAGATGATCCGTGTGCTCCTTTGATACTGTGATATGTTGATTGGGCAATAGGCATGTCCCAACGTCGTCGTTTCAACAATAAATTTCTTGTACAAAATACGCGTCTGCGTATATCAGGGTACATACAATTGTGGGTAGCACATTATAGACAAAAACAATTTTAAAAAAACTTTCAATCCTGAGAACACGGCGCTCAGAACATAAAAAGATCTTTGATACAATTCATATCGACTAAGCATGCATGTCTATTCTATTCCTCCGTGGGTGTAAGAACCGACTAAGAGAGAAAGAGGACAACAGCACTACAAAGAGAAGGAAAACTTGAAATAAACCTTATACCAACCCGTCTGGCCAGCGTGGTGTATTAGGCCAAAACCTCATTTCTAAGGAGAGGCCTATGTCCAGCAGTGGACAAGTAAAGGCTGTTGACGATGATGATGATGATGAAGCATGCATGTGCTAAGACTTCTTTTGAAATACACCCACTTTCTGCCGGTTGTCACATTCATCACTAATTTAAATAACATACATGCTAATGTGCCCACAAACAAAATAAAATAAAAAATGTGGGAACTTATAGCAATATTGTGTCCAAGACAATTATTATTAATTAAATACCTACGAGGTCAGTTACTGCCAGGTTAAAATATTAGTGACAAAAAAGGGAAGAAAAGTTAGCATGTTTTATACTCTTATATATATAACAATGTAATAAGAACTTAAAGCGAATACTATTAACGGCAATTTAACCCATTTCTCTTTGAATTTACGTAAAGCAGCGGGGCAAAATATATATTAGCCTCACCTATATTATCTTTAGCAGCTTCTAGAAGTACCACTAAAACAGAGTTATTTATCACCAGAATCAAATAACGCGATTCAGAATCTACCTACTACACACAATGGTAGATTCTGAATTGCGCTCTAAAATTACACTACTAATTTTAAGTATGGCAACATTATTTGCAAATGATAACGTAACTACTTATGTATCTATAGTCCGTTTGCATTAAGAAAATAGTGACGCATCGATCAAGCCACGTCCCCTGATTGGTCAGGGAGAAGGGCTTGATCGATGCGCCATTGTTTTCATTAAGCGACTGGACTATAGCATATACTTAATGATATTAACGGAAACCTACAACCAGACCACAATCCACAGATGTTTCACGATCGTCAGGGTCACAAAGTTATAATAGAAACAAAACAACAGATTAAATTATATTTATTTGTGTTGGCCTCAAAGTATTCATAGTACATTTTACAACAAATGTTTACATTATACTTAATTCAATGCGAGAACTTTCAAAACTTTTTATTAGCTAAACATTTAAAAATTGACAATTTTAGCGACTATAGATTCGATATTAATTGAGAGGAGCAGAGCGAACTGTCTACGGGAACAGCAATGCATGCAGGAGGGGGAATGGAGGGGGGGGGAGGGTCTGGGGGAACAAAATAAAATGTAACTAATCATGTACTTAACTTTTATTTGGTAACTGCAACAAATAAGCTTCAACAACATCAAAGCAAAGCTTTCATATATTACAGATCGACCAAGCACCTACCCACGTCCAACCAAATACTCTATTTGTAATGGAAGTTACTTCTGAACATTATTTAAGTACGCTATATGTTCAAACACAAGCACTAGGCGACGCTAAAAGCGGGTTGGCAACATTTTGACTAAACACTAAAGAAAAAAAAGACTACTCGCAAATATATTATCACGCTGTATTTGATGTAAAACTTATTACAACATAAGTAAAAAAAAACTTAATTAAAAAGTGCAATATTAAGCAGAGGGGCCTGGGTCGCAGTAGCAACGAGACTCACACCAGGTCCCACGGCGACTGGGAGCCAGACCATATAGATACACATGGCTACATCGAATTATTGGTTAAAACAGGAACATAAATACGCTATCATGAACTGCAAGATCCACATAAAATTTATTATACTGATTACAAATTATTCCATTGTCTGTGATCCTATACATCGTATGTTTACACGAGAGAGCGAACTGATAAGAATAAGTAGCAAAAGATACTAAAACCTGTTACCGTCGGTAGAAACTGGAATGTCACACAATTATTAAAAATACTGATTTGTTAAACAACAAAAAAACTTATTCATAAAATATATTTGACAATTATTAGACAAGGGTGTTGCAATCTGAACCCTTTCCCAATAAATAAGTTAACGAGGTTACCATAATAAAAAATAATATCCCATGACACCATACAACCGTATAAACATTCACCTTGCAACACCCTCAGAGTAACCCAAAACTACCTTAAGGGTTGCCATTATTTAAAATATTGCACCGATAATTTATATGTGCCAGAACTAACAGACTATTGCGCAGAATTCATTTATTAATAATATAAATAGACAACAGACGAGCCTTAGGGGTGAGGCCCCAACCTAACAGAATGTTGAACATTACATATATTTAAACTCTATGCCACAATTCTGTTTTAAGTTGAAATGTGGTTGTCAAATTGAATTACATATTTTTATTTAATAATTAGGTAACGACAACACTACCTGTTAACCACTGACTACATCGACTTATTAAATATTATCTATACCATATATATTTTTCTAATGGTAATCTATGCCGCCACTTCACTGTGATTGCCCCTCAATGGGATATGAATACAATTTTCTAGAGTATATTATATACTAATTATAATATTATGAATTCATTAAGCATTAAAGTACGACACACAAATAAATACATAATCAATCCCATGTTACCACCAACTGCCAGCAGTTGTATTTGTGCAGTGTTACCATGAAATAAATTGAAATTCTACTAAATTGTCTGTTACCATCGGTATTATAAGACATCATTGCAGTGTCGATGATCATGGTATGTTCGTTTTTTTAAAAGGAAGGACCATTTTTATGTAAATTTGTCTGATTAATCTCATTTAAAAGTACATACGTATGTAAGTACTTCTTTTAATATGGTGAACAATCTTTCATAATAACACTGTAGCGAGGCAATCTCAGAGTGAGCAAGTTCGGGCAATGAGCGAGAAATCGCCGAGCGCGGATCATTATTGCTTACAAATCTGAAACAACCTTATCACTGCATATATACGTAGAACGTATTGCCTGATAATTACAACGACACGTACGAAATTGTGACGTCAACGATTATTTGTAAATAAAGGCGTTTTCTTCAAGAATTCGTACACTTAGTGATGGTAGAATTCTAAGAGTCATCAGCAGTTTATTTAACAGTAGCTATAATGATCTTGGCGACTCTACAGCATCAAAAGAGCGCGTGTCGAAAGCTCTATTTTTTAATATTTTTCATATCCTTCAAAGTTTTACGACTTTTTATTGACGTAATAAGATAAATATAACTATGGTGGTGGCAATGGTGATTGAGATACACCTGTTTTAGTAGCAATTTCTTACACAGGGCCCCACATAATATCGTAGGACACTTGATTACCTGATGATAAGTGATTACCATCACCCAAACACATGGTAACTTAAGTCACCAGTGAATTGATGGCCTTTGATTTAGAAGTACGCTCTTTTCTTGAAGATTTGAAGGTAATACGACCAACGTTCTGAATTTTTTTTAAACTCGTGATAATTATCAGGCACTACACAATCGATTCATAAAATCCCAAATCAACTGAGCTAATCCAATAACTCTAAATGGACAAAAGTTTATCGTATATTACGCGTGAAACCCTTTTTAGAACGCCTCTAAACATTTATTATACAACTCTAATATCGAAGTGAATTTTAAATTCCATTAGCTCTGTTGTTAGCGCGCTATGGCGTATGACCCCGTCTCAAGTGTGGCGCCACCACACCCGTTTCCAACACTCGATTACATCGATACTTGAGTTTCCACACTCGTGGTGAACTTACCGTTTTGGTAGAATTTTTAGTCGATTTACTACGAAAATGTTTTTTGAGAAATTTATAAGGTCGAATAACGCTGGTCGCAGGAAGCGTGAACAAGTCGGATCTCTATTCACGGTTATAAATGCGAGTCAATGCAGTAGCACCCTTCCTGCAGACTCCCCGATTTACAAAGACCTTAACGACAATGAAACATGTTTAGAACTTAACGTAAACCATAAATACACATCGTTCGGAACGTACCGCTCGTAAGTTAAAAGACAAGGGCTGGTGGACAGTCAGAGAGGCCGGGGCGGTGGGCGGCGCCTACTCGTTCTCTGCGCGCATGCCGCGCACCTCCCCCTCGCGCCGGAGCCGCTCCAGCTCCTCCTTGGTGCGCTCCTCGATGGCGCGGATGTCCGCCATCGTCATGCCGAACCAGTCGTCCATCGAGCAGAACACTTGTCTGACGAACGATCATTAGAACAAATTAATTATTTGGATTAGACCTACGAGTTTGTTGACATATGGGATGTGGATTCGGTAATAGGGAATATGCACGTGACACCAAAATGGACAAAATATTTTTATTTGTAATTTTTATTGCTAAAAAAAGATACCCATACAATTATTTTTGAAATTTATTATAATTTAATAGTGAATTTAATCATCAAAAATTGGCTTTTTTAAGATTCCCTCGCAAATTTCTAAAACGCAACGCTATTGGTTGAATAAAACGTGACGTCAACCTACACTGTCAAGAGTGTCAACAAGTTGTGTGTATTTGTAATATTTGGTTTCTGGTGATTATTTGTTTCATTTTAAGTTAATAATTAATACGTTTTCAATGTTAAATTATTAATTTCCCGTGTACAAAGACTCAACACAATGACTGAATATACCTACTTTGTCAGGTGCAGTTTTGTTATAATTTTGGCACAAAGGAACGGCACAATATTTATAATAAGTTTTTTTTGTTTGTGATCTAGCAGTCGGATCACCTAATAGAAAGTACCAACGGCGCTAGTCACTTTCCATCAGGTGAAATGGACAACCGCAAAAGTCACTAGTACATTGCCTTAGAGGACCCCTTGAGTTAGGGGAAAGTATAGCGGATGGTCCACCCTAAAGCAGGGCGCCTGAGACCGGCTGTCCGGATGGTTTTTGGTGGAAACACCATATACTCCCGGCTCGTATGTCCCCGAGAAAACCTAAAACACTAATCTTATTCAATTCTTATTACTTTACATTGTGACGCCGTTGTATCACTCCGATTGAGCTGGGCCTTGTACATAGGTCTCCCGCGGTTAAAATAAAACCAAAACATTATATACCCGAAGGTTTCTTTAGTTGAAAAACATATATCGTCCCCGTAGTTGGAAAATTAAATAACTGATTTTGTAATTCTGAAATAAACGCGATTCAGTGGTTTTTTTTTCAGTTAATGTACATTTGTTAAAAAATGTGAGACAATTTTACTGTCGGTAATTTTATATTTTGTGAACCTGATTACCTTTTATATTTTGCTTTAACAAACTGAACTCTATCTTTTACTATAACAAAATAAAACATTAAAAATCAAGTTGTTTAGTTTTGCCACAACTATTATTTATAACGTAACTAAAATTAGCTACTTATTTCGGCTATTTATTTAGTTTTCCTACAGCTAAATCCATTTGGTAGAGTAAAATTTGGTGAAATAAATGCAGTTATTGAATTTATCAAACTCGCAATATTTTTAAATGTAAAACTTAGTGGCTTTGTATTTTACATTATTTTGACTTTTTAACTATTATTGGTTTCATATAAAATAAAAGCTGTATTATGATATTAATAAAGTTATATTTTGGAAGAAATATAAAAGTACAATAAAATTAAAAAAAAGGGTATTGTAAACAGATATTTATCTTGCCACAAACTTAAAAAAAATAAACAAAATTATAGCAATTATAACAAGTGGAAACAAATTAACTTAAAGTATTCTTTCAAATCAAAACAGAAAATAATTTAAACCCAAAAAATAACAATAAGGCTCTAAAATCAGAGACCTAATTACAAAAGACATACTTAAGTAGTAAGTAAAACTATGAAAAACTTAAAATAGGTACCTATGTTATTTAATTTATTTGCCATTTAACTTATCATTGACCACAGTTATTGATTTATTTACTGAGTTATTTATTTTTCCTTCAAAAAAATAGTGTTAGTCTGAAGATATTTATTATTCCATCTGTCCGACAAAAATGGCTATATTTTTGGAATGAAATAAGATACGAAAATGCCTGTAAGGCTCAAATATGCGGCATGTTTTAGGTGTTTTGAAAAAAGGGAAAAGTCTATATCGCCAAAACCGGACTTATTTAATTTTCCAACTACGGGGACGATATGTACTACATGGACCTACTGTCAACTGTGAAGTACCTAAATAAATATAAATTCTTACCTGTGAAAGATGGTGAACAGCCGCCTTTCCGATTTATGGATCACGTTTTCTACTTTACTCTGTAAAGAAAATTAAAAAAAATTAATGACATAAGTGGCAAACAAGGAGATGACCTGATGATAAGTGACTACCGCCTCCCATGGACACTTGACAACTCAAGTCACGAATATAATGTAATAATAATAATATAATATTCTACTATATCCCACAACGCCATCTTGTCCCAAACTGATATTAATACATATATACTTTTTTTTGTAAATACATACTTATTATACATAGAAACACTCAGACCAAATCAAACATTATATGTTCATGCACACAAATGTTTGCCTTGAGCGGGAATCGAACCCGCGACCTTTGGAATAGCAGTCCGTTACACAAACCACTACGCCATCCAGTCGTCCCGTACACCCGTGCGAAGCGAATAAATATAAAAGTTAATGATTAAAAAATAGTTTGTATGACGGGTAATGACGTCATAAACCATTACGTTTATAAAAGACTAGCTGACCCGCGCAACTTCGTCTGCGTCTCTCAATAGTAATAAATTTTCTCCGTTTTTGAAACATTCTTCATTGGTACTCCGCTCCTATTGGTCTTAGCGTGATGATATATAGCCTATAGCCTTCCTCGATAAATGGGCTATCTAACACTGAAAGAATTTTTCAAATCGGACCAGTAGTTCCTGAGATTAGCGCGTTCAAACAAACAAACAAACTCTTCAGCTTTATAGTATTAGTATAGATACATAAACGATATTTATTTCTTTAAGTAAATCTTTTCAGATATTTTTACAAGTCCGACTTCACTATAAGAAATGTCGAAAAAAACGACAGAGGTGTCTTTTTTTTTGTCCGTGAACGACGTTAAAGAAAACTTTACACGACGCATCGTTTTAACCTTTAATAAAAAGGAATAGACCAAAACCTCCTTTTTAAGGAGAGGCCTATGTCCAGCAGTGGACTGTTAAAGGCTGTTGATGTGATGTGATGATGATGAAAGAGGAATTGATTTCTTGAGAAGTCTACTATAGAATTATTATGTATTACCTGTAGTCCAAACCACTTGAACTCAGCTGTGACAAGCTTGTAGCAAGTCATGACCGGGTTGATTTCGTTCTTCCATGAGGGGCCCACGAGGGGGCCGCGGCCGGTTTTCTTTGACTTGAACTTGGTCGGGTCAGTCTCCGGCTTGTAATCCGCAGTCGGGAGGGGGTCGTTCGCGATGTCTATGTGAACGACCTCGCGGTTCTTTAATTTCTCTGGGGACAGTTCGTGCACCTGAAACAGAATGGTGGTGAAGTCAGTGGAGAAATACTACATAATTTAACTGGAATAATTTCTAAAGACGAACGAAGTACATGGTTCTATAGACGTCCGAATTAGGTCAGTGGGTTGTCGTGCGCCGGCGGGATCGCATGTTATTTCGATATTCATTCGCACGCAGCATTGCATCGCTTGATATATATTACTTAACTATTACGAATAATATTATTACGGCACCTTATTCGACTGCTTACGTTTAGGATTTCTTCACGATACATTATTGTAGAATGATATTGCATAGATTGCTGTTAAATTTATAACAAATTAATCCATGACCCAATAAAGTAAGCACTGCTTTATACATATAAGATCAGAACGACGGAGGTTGCGTTATTTGGTGTTAAACTTTGTTTGTTTGTAATCTTTTTATATGTAAATAATAATAACGTCATATATCTCACACACGGTCTGTCTGATCCACAATTAGGCAGAGCCTGTGCTATTGTGACCAGACTGTTGATAAACATACTTTTACATTTCTAAATACATACCTACATGTTATAGATAAATTAAACCCAGACACAGAACAAATGATCGTGCTTATCACACAATTATTTGTCCTAGCTGGGTAGCGAACCCACGACCTCTAGCTTAGTAAACAGAAGACAAAAATCTTTCTGATGTAAGTTTGTCAAGTTAATTTAACATAACTAATATTATTTAACGGGAATTAACGCGATCTCTTATTTAGGGTATTACCAGTCAGCCTGTGACCACGGCCGGTGCAACCTGGTCGAAACGTCAGGCAAACCAGAGGTATGTAATACCCTAAATAAGAGATCGCGTTAATTCCCGTTAAACAATATTAATTATCATGGAACGCGAAAGTTTAAAAGTTAATTTAACATCTTACTCAAGACAATTTTTAGTAATAATAAAATTATTACAAATGTTAGCTAAGGCGTTTTCCGCAAAATGTGTGGTACGAATTGACGTGAGAAAATTAACCTAGCAATTATGTAATTATTGTTAGTCCATGAGAAAACCTTGAGGGCACATTGTACGAATAGATTGTGCACATTATATCTTACAAATAGACAACCGTTCAGTCTTATCGGTTACCGGAGTTTTGTACTTTAGTAGTGATTCCTTCCAGAAGTAGTTTCTGATATCTCTAAATCCTCCTATTTCAATCGAGCTTTAGCTACTTACTTTATACAAGATAACTCCCGCGCTAGGCATATAATCCTTTGTCGCGGTGGACTACGAACAGATATGAAACGGATACAAAGAACACCCAGACTCAGGACATCAATTTGTAGATCACATAAAGTGATGTCCAATGTGGGGATCGCACCAACAAAACTCAGCGTAGTAGAAAGCGGCGTGGCGACCTGTTAAACCACTACACCATCCGTGCAGTCAATAGCTACTTACTGTTTTACGATATCATCAACAACCTTTAGTAGTCCACTAGCTAGACATAGGCCTTTCCTTAGACAGGAGGTTTTAGCCTACTATACCACGCCGGTCAGACGGGTGAAACTATCATTTGGATGGACTTTGGACCCTTGCAACTTAATAGTGTGTTATCGGACTTTAAATCCTCAACTACCCCCCCCCCCCCTCCCCAAATTGGACGCTAATTGAAAGTCAACGAAATAATTGCATAACGCCGGTTTTCTGTATTTTTCCATTTGCACCGAAGGTCCTCCCACGAGTGGTTCCACAACAAACAGTTGCGGTTCCACAGACTACAAAGACTATGCCAAGAAATACTCCAATCAGAACATAACAACTATATCTTTGCAGATTAATCAAACATTTCATATGTTTGTTCAGCACGTACTTTGTTTTTAAATTAGCACTTGTAACTCGTAGTTGGTGTTAAATTATTCATTAACAGACTTAACGATTTACGTCAATCTAAGGTTATTAAGAACCGTGTATCCGCCGTGACATCGCCACTGTGTACCTACATATTTATATTTCTTCCGCGGTATCCTGCTGTATATAGCTGGATGCGAGAAGCCCAAAATCGATCTAAGTGGCGTGCAATGGGAGAGGCCTATGTCCAGCAGTGGACTGCGATAGGCTGATGATGATGATGATGAACCGCGGTATCCTGATCATTTTCTAAAATAAAAGTAACTAAGGTACTCTTCTTATTTAATGGTTAAAGGTTTGTGTAAAGCCAATAATCGGTATTTGAGTAGGTATTTAGAAGAACCGTGTGAACGTTCATATGGATTTAGTAAAAAGTTATTATGATCAGATATCTAATATCTAAAATTCTTTTGTCACGGTGTTTGTTACCAAACTCCTCCGAAACGGCTGGACCGAATTTTATGAAATTTTGTGTGCATATAGAGTAGGTCTGAGAATCCGCTACTATCTATTTTTCATACCCCTAAGTGATAAGGGTTGTCCACCCCTAAATATTTTTATTTATTTTTTTATTATGATTTAGCATTGAAAAATACGTACAACAATAATGTATATGGCAAAACAACGTTTGCCGGTTTAGCTAGTTTGTTTACAAATTAATTACAGTTCTAAAAAAGTTTTGTTAAATATTAACGAATATGAAAAAAAAAAACAATTTATTTAAATGAATACTGATGAATTGAGAACGTTAAGTCGTACGCTAAGGTTAGAACATAATAGTTTGGCACCGATTAACAAAATGCATTAATAATCGTAATAATATCGTTAACTGCCTCGGTTGTGCAATGGGCGTGCGTATACGACTGCTGTGCTGAGGTCTCGGGTTCAATTACCGGGAACCAAATGATCTGCAAATATTGGTTTCGGAGTTTGGGTATTATCTGTGTATAATATGTATGTTGTTACAAAAACGGCGTGAGGGGTCTATGGACCGCCGGTCGGAACGAGGTTTCTTACGCATTTTGGTAGAAAAATGTATAAAGTTCATCACATCACATCACATCAATCAGCCTTTAACAGACCACTGCTGGGCATAAGCCTGTCCTCAGAAAGGAGGTTTTGGCCTACTATACCACGCTGGCCAGACGGGTTGGTATAAGGTTTGTGTCAAGTTTTCCTTCTCTCTGCAGTGCTGTTGTTCTGCGTAGTTTTTTTTCCCTTAGTCGGCTCTTACGACATCCACGGGATGAATAGGGGTGGTGACACTGTATATTATTAATACGTCACCACACGGACTATAATAAAGTTCATACACAGCTGTAACTATAGCGAGAAGTGTTGGAAAAAAGTCTTGTTACATATTTATCGATCTCGCTCCCATCCGCTTAGAGACTTCATTCCAAAAACAGTATATAACTATTCTATCAGTCAATCTAGCTTTCATAGTACAAGCTCTGCTTAGTGTGAAACTATATGTCGTTGTGTTAAATGTTCTAAATTATATAGCAGTTTCATTTGCTTCGAACGATGGTACATAAACATAATCATATATTTCTATAAATGGCTATCACAAAAGGCTAATCAGCGACGTCAGGCGTCTCTTTCACGCTTCACCGACCTTGTGATCACTTTTAGCAACTACGAACAAGCCACAAATGCGAGTAGATTTATTAATCGACATTAAGGTCAATAGGTTTCAGAGGGATTTTCCTTATCCCAGACGCGTCACCTAATGGTCACCTACAACGAAGAGTTACAAGTGCTTGTCGCCTTTAGAGTAGAGATGCCAAGAATATTTAGCAGATATTCGGTATTCGGCCTATTTGACCACCGAAAGTTCCTAACTATTTGGCCAAACACCGAGTAGTAAATCCGAAAAAAGAATTCATAATATTACTCACAAAGATTTTTATTTTAACAATAACATATCATATTAATACTTAAAACAATTTTTTCAGCATTTGTTGATAGGAAACGATACACTGCTTCCAGGAGATGATAAATAAATCTTAATAAATTGTGTGAGGTTAGGATCTTGTATTGCGTTTGCTGACCATTTTATTGATTCAAGTTTACAGCCGGGATAGGTACTAAGTGTTGCCGAATATTCAGCGCTTCAGCCAAGAGACTCGCCGAATATTGCCGTTATTTGGCCAAATCACTATTCGTGGCATCTCTACTTTAGAAACCTTCTCATAATTGGGGGTTTGAGGCTCAAGTAACTCACTGGGAGACATTTAAAAAAGGCAGTAGGTTCAACGTTTTGACAAATCCCACATATATCATATGTAACACACAATGTATCCTGTGTCGCGGGGACTTTACAAACATACATGAAACGGACACAAAGAACACCCAGACTCAGAACAACGATTTGTGAATCACACAAAGTGTAGTCCCATGCGGGGATCGGACCCACAACACTCAGCGTAGTAGTAAGCGGCCACTACGCCATCCGTGCAGTCAGTAAGAAGTAAGTTCTCAATATAATTTAACACCTTACTACTAATACTATTTGATCAGTCTTAGAAGACTGGAAATCCGAATAGTTGTCGGAACTATAACAGGACACCTAGCCCTGAATCGACAACTATTCATCATCAATGCGACGGACAGCCCTCTATGCCTGAGATGTCTGGAAGCAGAAGAAACGGCCGCCCTCGTAATCCTGGAATGCGAGGGAGTGGCCACACAACGGGCAAGTATCATTCCCGATACAAAACCGCTCCTAGAAGCCTCCCCAGGAGGCTTCTGCGCTTCTGGAATTAGCTTTGGTTGGCTCACCTAGCTAACCAGTCCTCGACGCATAAAGGACCACTCAGTCTAAATGCGGAAACCGAAGCCCACAACCAATACTACTACTATTTAACGATCAATCAACAAATGCGTACAATTATCAAAAAAAATCTTGTTGCCATAGTAACCTAGTACCAAATACGTAGTACCTATGCTATAGTTTGAAATAAAAAATGTATATTCACATCAAAATTAATGGAAGTGACGCCCGTTATTATATCACGTACTGTAATAACGTTAATTCAATGTTATGATATTGTTCAATGTCGATTCAAAACCTGTATGAGTCGCACTTTGTACGGCCACAAGTGTCACTTGGACATCGTTCGACGCGAAAATTTGCACGTTTTTAACTAGTGAACAATTATTTTATTAATAAATAATCTCGAAGTTTCGCTTGTAGTTATCGTCGCTTTTCTGTTCCTGTTAGTCGTAGCGTGATGTTACATAGCTTATAACACTAATGAAGAATTGAATTATGAAATAAAAAAAACTTTAAAGTAACAGTTGCAGAGGTTAAAACGTGAAATTTAATAGTCCACTGCTGGACATAGGTCTCTCCTTAGAAAGGAGGTTTTGGCCTACTATACCACGCTGGCCAGACCGGTTGGCAGGGTTTGTTTCCCTGCGTATATTGCTCCCTTAGTCGGCTCTCACTACACCCACGGTATGAATACCGGTTGTAACACTCCGTATTCTTAAACCGTTACCACACGGATCTATGAAAGTAAAAAATTATAGTTTTAAAAAACAAAAAAACACGCTTTCTATAGATAACCAAACTAAAAAATAGAAAATAAATTTGAAAAAAAGCGTTGGGTGCCTGTTGTCAATAGTAAAAAGCACCCCACGCTTTTTTTCACATTTCTTGTGTTTTTTAAATATATTTTTAAAGTAGTGTATTGTCATCGGTCCTCAATATATCTACAAAGTTTGAACGAATTCTGACCGTTTAAAGTCAGTCAAAATCACGCCCAAAGGAGTCGGATACAAACATACAAACAAACATACAAGTGAAGCTAATATAAAGCGTGTAAAAAAGGGGTACCTACAAAGCATTATCTTCTTAATGAATAACAATTCATCAGTGAATCAAGTATATTGAAGGTACATAAAGATAATACTCACATTATACTGTTCTCCCGCATCGGGCACGTGCAATGATTCTATGCAGATAACAAAGTTGTCTTTCATGTAGCCCGGATTCTGAAACACATACAATAACATCTCTGTTTTTCATTCAGAGTTATCGAGCATACATTAATGACTACCTACTCACGTCGACATTTAGTGAGATTTATTCTTTGTCGCTATAGTTACACTAACTTTTAAACGTTCGCGTTTCATGATACATAATTTAATTGTCAGTGAATCAATCTAAAAGTTACGTAAACATTTAATAGTTTTGTTCTTTTACCAATATGTTCATTATTTTGTGTTACATGCGTTACATATTTACCAAGATTTGTATACTTCAGTTAGGTTTTCATGTCAAATTGTCAAAATGTGTAAATGTTATTTATCTATATAAATAAATAAAATTTTAACAAAAAAAACCGACTTCAATGGTTTTCTAATGGATTCCATGGTCAGAACTAGACCAAATTGAAATGGGACCACACGGGAAGCACCAGCTTTCCAATAAAAAAAGAATCATCAAAATCGGTTCACCCAGTCGAAAGTTATGAGGTAACAAACATAAAAAAAAATACAGTCGAATCGAGAACCTCCTCCTTTTTTGAAGTCGGTTAATAAAATTGAAGTGTCTGTTTGTAATGTCAAATTAGTAGGTTTTTTAATGCTCACACGGTTATTTGCAGGATACCTATGCCTAAAAACCAGTTTAATTTTGTTTTGTCTGTTTTCTGTTTCTGTTCTGGACCGATTTCGATAATATTTTACTAAGAGGTAGCTGTCTACATAAGGAATAACTTAGGCTATTTTTCCTCTCAGAAAAACCCTTTAAAATTTTGCCCGGTCCAGGCATCGAACCCACTAAGGCAGCGCTTTTCAAATTCCACTCGTACAAAGTGGCGGATACTACCTAGTCCCAAATAAAACAACAAAAATTATTCCCGTTTTTACGTATGAAAATTTAATTTGAATATCTTTTGTGCAACCTGTGAAGTGGACGGCTAGTGCAAAGGGGGGCCCTAATAAACTAATCGTAATGTTAAAAACGGGCACGGTGTCGATCGAGTTGATGTGAAATAAACTCACAACAAGAAAAGCTTAATTGTTATCATGCTATGGGAGCTACAACTGCCAACAAACTGCTCTGTAGTTTGGCAGTAGTAAAAAAAATACTTATAAAAATGTATAATATACTTTTTTTTATATCCTATATATATATATTATTGTATCCTATGTCGCGGGGGACTTAACAAACATACATGAAACGGACACAAAGTACACCCAGACTCAGAACGACAATTAGACTGTGAATAAACACTTTCTTTTTCTTTTTTTTTCAGTCATTTACTAGGCACTCTTGTTGTAACGACAGGCAATTCAACGGTATTCGCATTGACCTCCTTAAGTAACATCAACATTCCAGCGTTTGGTTGTTCACTGCTGAACATAGGGCTCTACTTAGAAAGGAGGTTTTGGTCTCCGGTTTCCGTATATGCAATATCAGTTTCCTACCATTGCTCTTTTCATGTTACCAACTTTTTCCTTTATTGCCCGGTAAACGTCAATAATCTTGCCTCCCATTACCTGACTGGAATTCAAATTATACTCAACAAACTTTTTTTTTTTACAGACAACTCCCGCACTAGGCATAATATCCTGTGTAATGATATCCACAAAGAACACCCAGACTTAGAACAACAATTTGTGGATCGAACCCGTTGTGGGTTCGATCCACAAATTGTTGTTGTTAAAAAGCGGGTAGTGGTGTCACTACCCGCTTTTTACTTGGCTCAGTAAAAAGCGGGTAGTGACACCACTACCCCATTCGTGCAGTCTGCTAACCCCTTCAGGGACATAGGTGTATTTGTGATATTGGTTAAGATTCATATGTATTTTAAACATTAATGGCATAAAGCGAATCTTCCAACTAAAGCCCATTTCATAATTATTATTTTAAATATTTTCCTACTTTACTGTTTCAATTTAAAGTTCGCCCCGTACAAAGAAAACGCCCCTTGTATGATTTATAGCGAAACTATGTAATTAGTACTAAATAAGATTCTTTTACATGATTTCAAAATAGAAATATAAAGGTGTGTACTCACCGTGAGCACGGTCCGGCAGTAAGGGTAGGCGTTCCACGCTTCTTCGTGCACTTCTAATGAACCCTTCGGCGCCAGAAGCCTGATGAAGGCCGGTACCTTCGACGCCAAGTGGTAAATCTTGTATGTGTACTGGCCTGAGGAGTATTTGCCACCTGCGGAACATTGTGACGTCAATAAAACATTAGTGATCACAAAGATCTTACAGTACAGTCAACCTCATAAAGAAAGATACATCAGGAAAGATTATTCATGAACTTGTTTTCTATGACATAGGGAACAAGTAAAGCAAGGTAAGCGACTACCGCCGTCCATGAACACCTGCAACTCAAAATGACAAGTGCATTGCCGCCCTTGTGCGTCCCCCCCCCCATATTGGGGTTTGGCCCATAAGTTGAAAAGCAACATAACGCCGGTTTCCTGTGAGGCCGTGGTATCACTCCGGTCAAGCCGCGATTGATGCGTGTTGCGTTAGAATGTATTTACCAAAAGGCGAAGAAATTGGATAGAACGATACACGGAGTATTGTAAATAACACCACGGTGAAAAAAATTAATAGTTATTGGATAATATCGGATCAAGTTTTTCAAATTAATCTAGTTTACTTTGTTGCAATAGATACATACAATTATTATTGTTTTACGAACCCCTGTAAACTCTACCAATTTTAACATTATCATTAAAAATTAACACGTAACGAATTGTTTTATTTCTCGTTATACGTTACGAGTAAACAGTCGTTAAAAAAAACGACACCCCAGTGCAGTGGTGTGGTTCAGTGGTTTTTTAAAATACATGAGAACGTCTTGTAAAGTTCAAGGACCGAGGCAAATTTCATATCTTCCGTGATCTATCAGATAACAATTTCCGAAACCCCTAGGGCAACATTTATGGTATGATTTGATTAAGGCAAACTTTAAAAATAACCTTAAATGTGAGAATACATTTCTACCGAAGAACGATTTGTATTTTATTTAACGACCTGTCTATTTGCAGACACAATCTTATGTCATTTATATCGGCATGTATGTATTGTATGTTCTCGTACAGATAATATTCTCACCATCTTTCGATAATGTCAGTGCCTACAGATACTTTACGATAAAATAGAAATTATCTGAGCTGTGCGCATTGCTCACTGAAATTAATATTGGGATGTTGAAATATATGCGCTTAGATGTAGATATCGTATCAGTGTAATGTGTGACAGTGTGTATCGAATATACGAATATGAAAAATTAGCTAATAATTACATGATTTAAATCATATTTGTACAAATTAACCAACATACTAACTAATTACTAATATGACAAATACCGAGATACGCTTATAGTCTTAGACACTTCAAGTTGAAGTTATATAGTTTTACTAGCTGACCCGGCAATATGTTGTTTTGCCATACACATTTTTTTGTTAAAAAAAATCATTGGTCAAAAATTGATAAAAACCATAATAAATCATAATAAAATGAAAAAAAAGGTTAAAAAAAAAACAAAAAGTATTTAGGGGTATGAAAAATAGATGTTAGCCGATTCTCAGACCTGACCGATATGCACACAAAATTTCATAAAAATCAGAGGAGTTTGGTGGTTAGCTTTGTTGATGTATTTAGCTCGCTTCTTTCTAGAAAGTCTTTTCTGCCCGGATTATGAAACGGTTTTATTTATCAGGAGTTTATGGTTGTAAAAAGCTGTGTTTCTACAGACTCCAACATATCAATACCTTTGCGTACCCTAATTGGAGGGCCAAGTGCTAGTTTATTTCACTTCTACTAGATCATCACGGTGACCGCGTTCAGCGCTACGATTGGCCCGCACTAAAATCTCTACTAATCGTAACGCTAAACGCGCTGGGCATCGAGAGCTAGTCGATGTGAAATAAACTTGCACTCAGCCCTCAAAGGTCTAGTGTGAGTTTATTTCACATTAACTCGATCGTCACGGTGACCGCGTTCGCACTGAGGGTTAAGTGCGAGTTTATTTCACATTAACTCGATCGTCACGGTGACCGCGTTCGCACTGAGGGTTAAGTGCGAGTTTATTTCACTTCAACTCGATCGTCTCGGTGACCGCGTTCGGCGCTATGATTGGCCCGTACTAAAATCTCCACCAATCGCAACGCCAAACGCCGCTCGCTGTCGAGAGCGAGTCGATGTCAAATAAACTTGCACTCAGCCCGAACTCTTCAGCAATCACAACGTCGAAAGCAGTCCGTGCCTCCGCCGCCGCCACCGTCGTCTTCGTCGAGAGCCAGTTGATGTGAAATAAACTAACACTTAGCCCTCAGGAAGTTAATTGAGGTGAAGAAGATTTTTTTTATAGGCACGTCAATCAAAGCAAATTCAATTCGTCAATCCTGTGACTACTTTATATTTAATTTAACCTTAATTTGTAATAAACTACAAGGTTAAACTACAGGAAATCATTATAAACAATCAAAAACATAATTTGAAGTATTACATTACATACATAAGTAATTTAACTATGTATATATATGTATACATATATGTAGCTTTTCCAATGAGCATTGTATCATTTAGTTTATTATATGCCGTTGTTTATAGAATAGATAATTTCGATGTTTGATATTTTGAATATAGTTATAAAGAATATAAGAAGAGAAAATAAACTTAAAAAAATATTACCGACTTCAACGCGCCTGAATCTAAACAAATAAATAAAATTGAAATGTCTGTTTGTAATGTCAAAATAATAGATTATTTTGATGTTTACATAGTTATTTGCGATACCTATGCCTAAAAACCAGTTTAAATATTTTTTGCCTATCTGTCTGTTTGATCCGGGTAATCTTCACACAGCTGGACCGATTTTGATAATATTTTACTACCAAGTAGCTGTCTATATAAGAACTTAGGCTATTTTTCCTCTCAGAAAAACTCTATAAATTTTGCTTGGTCCGGGAATCGAACTCACTAAGGCACTTCAAATTCCACGCGAACGAAGTCGCGGGCAACAGCTAGCAATGTTTTGATAATGTAATAAGTTGTATCCTTCATCACTTTATTTCCTACTCTTCGAGTTGGGATTCGTTGTGAAATTCAAATGGAACCATTTCCAATCACGTCATGAACCAATACAAATAAAAAGAATCATTTGAAGTCGGTTCACAAACGGCGAAGATGATGCGTAATATACAAAAAGAAAAATATTCAGTCTAATTGAGAACACGCTCCTTTCTTTCCTTTTTGAAGTCCGTTAAAATAATCACTCTGCTTTAGAAGTAAGTTATCATGTATCATGAAGGTTTTTAGTCGTATAATTTTTTATTGCTATTGATTTTATTACAGAATGCCGTGGGAGAGCCATGCTTCTGCACGAAAGGGCCGGCTCGACCGGAGTGATATCACGGCCTCACAGAAAACCGGTGTTAAGCAATTCTTTCGTTGCCTTTCACTGAGTGAGTGAGGTTACCGGAGCCCAAATTCCCCCTACCGCTGACTCGAGCGGGAGGGACTCCAAGGACAGCAACAAGGGCACCTGTAACTTTTGAGTTGCAGGTGTCCATGGGCGGCGGTAGTGGCTTAGCATATAATATTCAGTCTTTTACCGATCAACAGTTTTACTACTGATATTTACAAATACAACGTATGGTATCTACACCAACTATTATTTTCAAGTTAAACAGAAGCATCAAACTATTTACTTTTATTATTTAAAGACGAGGTTAATGTTAATCTGTACTATGTCTAACTATAATATGGTGAATATTAAAAACCCAGAGACTGTTATCTATATCTATAAAAGAAGAAATTCACAGGCTGATTGACAGCTGTTGGGTCTAGAAGCGTGAAATTTTGCACAAATTTTTCTTAGGTGTGCTTTAAGAAACGTCGAGGTACCAGGGATTTCCTTTCTAGGGTACATCTGGTTCCCCGGCTACTGGTATCCGAGACGGCGTGCGGTTTTTGGTCGATTCGAGTCCGACATAATTTCTCCACCGGTGGGTGATATCCGAGGGGATTTACGTACAGGAAAGAAAAAAAAAGGATTTTAAAAATTCCACCTCTGAGGGTGCAAAATGGGAATTAGAAATTTATATAAAACATCGCTATTTTTGGTAGTAGCGGTTTTCAAAATCACAGTAAATACTCTTTTTTAAAAGAAATAAAGAAAGCATTTTTTTTTTAACTTATCAATGCCAAGCTCTCGGTATAGTTATTATCTCTATTAAAAATAACCTTTTTTATAACTTTTCAAAACATAAGTTTCTCAATCACTCCAAAACGGCTTGCCGAATCTGGACGAGATTTTTCACATAGATAGATTATAGCCTAGAATAGCACAGAAGCTACTATTTCTGAACCTATTGACGAATCAAAAACTAGTTAATTTATAAATATGTGGAGGACTAAGTACATGAAGAATTTGCAAGATTTGACTCCACCCTGCCTTGAAAACGTTTCATGAACTACTTTTAAGCTTAGTTTTATTGATTTACCGCTGAATTCAAAGATTACGTAACCTGACGTTGGTTAAAAATTTCAAACATTGGAAGCCGAGTGAAAAAAAAAAGATGGACCCCCCCGGGCCATCCTTTCGGATGGCTTAATATGTACTCCCCATCTGCGAGAGTCAATAGGTTGGTATCAGCTGTATTAGTTGGTAACGCGATTTGTAGTTGGAGCAAGCTGGCCTTTGAGGATGTATTCAGTAGCTTTTGGCGCGGCTCCGCCTGCTTATATGTTGGACTACAGTGGACCTCAGAGGTAAGCCTCCTAAATCTTTACTTTCATAACCAAGCTCTAATGCACTAATCTCTGGAACTATCAGAGACATTCGCATATAGTTTTTAGAATTGTTAGAGTATTTGCCTACGGCTCCGCCCGCGTGTATGTCGGTTATCGCGCTAAAAAGTAGCCTATGATACTCGCTACTAATAATTAGCTTAAGCCACACTCCTATCCTTCCTTCTTCTAAATATTATTATTATATAATACTTAAAAAACTATCCTAAAAGTTTAAAGTTACCCGAAGAAGGTACGAATCGAATTGAGCTATTTTCAAAAGAAAACTATCCATCTTATGCATATAAACTTCTTCAAAAGATGTCAAAATCGGCTCGAGAGCAAAATACTGCAACACAGATGTAACTTTTTAGGGGCGAGGCGAGAAAGGTCACGAGTTTTTGACCCTGG